CTAGTGGCTGAACAGAGCCTTTGGGGAGCTAAGGAAAGTTGAGTGTATGCAGCTGCGGAGGGTGGCATTAAGGCAAACCTTTTACTTTGCCTTTGTGGCTAAAGCACAGGTATGCTTTAGGGGCTTCAGGCTGCTCAGGGTATACTTACATAGTAACATAGTATTTGAGGTTGAATAAAGACATAAGTCCATCAAGTCCAACCTATTATGTGTGTGTGTGTGTGTGTGTGTGTGTGTGTACTTCGTTACCAATCACGGACAACTACATCACCCGACTCCTCCCCCCTTCCCTTCGTTAGCCGACAGAGCCACTCGGGGAGGGAGGAGTCCGGTGACATCGATGTCCGTGACGTCACCGGATCTCCGACGGAAGCCGGCGGAGAGGTGAGTACTTTGATCGATCAAAATAATTTTGATCGATCAAAGAAATTAACGATTAATCGACGGATTAATCGTTAATTTCCGCACCCCTAATTTAAATTTAGTAACCGTGTCTCATAGTTCTGGTCCTCCATCCCCTTGATGAGTTCAGTTGCCCTCCACTGGACTCTCTCCAGCTCAAGGACATCCCCTCTGTGTACCGGTGCCCAAAACTGCACCGCATACTCCAGGTGAGGCCGAACCAGTGATGTGTAAAGTGCCAAAATGACAGACTTGTCCCTGCAAAACATTCCCTTTTTGATGCAGGTCAGGATTCTACTAGCTTTGCTTACAGCAACCTGGCACTGTAATCTATTATTCAGTTTATGGTCTACAATGACCCCCAAATCTTTGCATGCATGGAAACTCCTTTGTGTTTTCAGACTAAAGCCATTGCCTGCTGAACTACATGGTCCTTTCTAATATTCTAATTTAAACAATTTTTACACTTCATGACTCCATTTGCCGCTGTTTCAGTGTGTTGCAGATGACATATTTGCCAGCAAGTGGTTTATTCACTTAGTTGTCAAGACTAAAATGACTAAACCCAATACTCTGCAGACTAAGGGATAATTCTAATAGTGGGTCAATGTATCTATAATGTATCTATATCTATAGGACTCTCTGCAGCTCAAGTAAGATTTAAACCGTCTCTTTCTTTACAGGCTCTTTGTTGGTAGACTATACAGTCCAGCCGACTAGAACAGCTCTGAGGATGAAGAATACTACATCCATCATCTTCATAGATTTAGGTTTTTTTTTTAACCTTGGGTGTATACTATGGTTAGTGACAAATGGAATTCAGAAGGGAGTAATTTTTTCCTGTTTAACGAACAACCTCTTTCACACGGGCATTCTGATCAGGTCCATCTGTCATTCATTTTTCAGATGGATCTGACCGGAAGCCCAATGTTACTCTACAGGCAGCTGGATGTAAACAGACAAGCGTTCGTTTACATCCAATTACCCCTGACTTCGGCCAGGTCCAGAAAACCAAACAGAGTTCCAATTTGGTGGACCTGATCGTGAGGAAGATAGAGGAAAAAACAGGACAGACACATATGTCACAATGTTGATGTAAGTGAAAGGGGCCTAAGGTAATATGAACTGTTAAAAAGAAGTGGGCCCTGTATTTTAAAAGCTGTTTGTATGCTTGGCATAGAGATCAGAATATTTCAGGTTAATAAGAATGTTAAGTTAAAAGGTTATTTCGGCAAATGCTCATTTTAATCTTGACTTTGAGTTAATGCAACTTTAAGACGACAAGAGTGAAAGCTGCAACATTCTGTGTGTGCAATCATTGCCCCCTAATGCGTTTAAGACCTACAATTACAGTCATCCCCAGCAGCAACTGGAATTGCAATTTACCGCTTCCAAAATACTAACCTATTTAGACCCCTTGTTTACATTCATACGGCTGTTTGGTGGGTTCAAGCCGCTGGTTAACCTTTAAAATGCATTACTTGGCTGGTGCTTAAGAGAGATAGATGTGTTAGAAGTGTATATTAGAGGCTTTCAAAACACAGGATCATCAATCTTCAGGCAGTCTGGGTTCACGCAGCGAAGCCGTTATCCGAGGCGCAGAGTAAATCCACAGACACAAGCCGAACACATGCAGGCGCACTTGTTTTCCAGCCTCTCGGAGGAAATGTCAGTAGAACATTACAGGCTGCTCCGGCTTCGCCTGGGTAGACTTTTAATAATTTAATATTTTTATTCCGCGCGCCAACCCTCTCCTTATCATTTTCTTGATTGATACAGACGCTCAAAGATTCCTAAATCTGTTTAGGAACCATGCTGAGCCTTCCGTGCTTAATTCTGTTTAGTTGCATGAGTGATGAGGGACATAAATTCTTAATTATTTTTGTTCTCAAAAAGTCAAAAAATATTACATCATAAAGTGAGTGTTCTTTTCTAATTTTTCTGTAATAGTGTGTGTTTTAATTGCTCTGATAAAGTGGTTCTGTACAGACTGTGAGTCGCTAGAACTGGGGGTTGCCACAGGGCTGTTTACATTCTGTAATAATGACGCATAGTAATGTTTTTGTGTCTGAACGGTTTACAATACACACTTGTGAACTTGTGACACCTTGGTCGTCGATATGCTGCTAAAAAGTCATTAATTCCAATGAACTTGATAAAGAATCGGTTCACCCTATCAAATGGCAGTTTCTGATTCTATGCAACTTTCAATAGGTGCTGCATGTGTGTACAATCTCACGTGCAAGCAGCTTTTTAAAAAAATGTTTGTTGTGTGGATCTCTGTGTAAATCTACATGCTTACATCAAATACCAGATCTTTTTATCACAGGTAAAGATTAAACATTCAGATAGAATTTTTATCTTCTGGGGTGGACTGCTAGAATCCAAAGGTAAATGTATTGATTGTCACTTGTGCGGATGGCCATAATTGTGCAGTCACAGTACTTGTGGAGATATGGGCCTGTCCTCAAATGACTCACCAGTTCCTTTGTGATCCTTGCTCCACAGAGACAGCACTATATGCACAGTACTTAAATTCTCTATAGCAGAGGAAAAGATTGGACCTGTGTGCATTGATTATATGTATTAGTAGCACCCCGTCCAAAATGAATGCCTTGGTGCTCCACACCAAACAAAGCAAATAATGTAGCAGCAGGTATTGTAGGTACTCTAAAGGCTTCCATAGGTCAATAAGGCGGACATTACGTTGATGTTTCAGCAAATCACAGCACATTGTATGTGTGTGTATGTTAACACACACACACACACGTGTATG